TCTCGGCACCCAGATGCAGTGATATTTTGAAGGCTGTAGGCAGAAAAAAAACGGCATTCAGCAGAAAACAGATTAATGGTAGTTGGCGTCATGGGTGACTGTGATGAAAGACGGTTGGGAATAAGGGGACTTGGCGAGGGATCTCCACTTTGCTGCACACTCAGCCAGGCTTGACTGTCGCGCGATAAGGAAATTAACACAGATGGTTGCAGCCCCATTGGCCAGTAATGAGGGTTTGAGCGCTCCTTTATCACACGTTTATACAATGCCCAAAATTTAAATCTGCCGCTTTATCTTCGTGAACAAAGACGAGGCAGTGTTGTTTGGCCCATGGATTTCTGGCCAGGAACAAGGTAGGGTGCGAAAGAATTGGGATTTGGCAACCCGAGGAAAAAGTACATTGCCGCTTCAGAGACTTCTTTGGTTTGCATTCTAGTTAAAATTTCTAAAGCAAGAGGCACTTATTGTAGTATTGTTTCGCAGTCTCCAAAGCAAATTCGCACCAGGACCGATTCCAAGCCCATAAAGGGAAACATCCGTGTTGGGGTCAAAACGTAAAATGTGAGCTGGTATAATTACGTTTCTCGGTTCTTTGTGTCATGCAGTCACTACTTGCTGTAACATTCCAGCCAACAATGAGGTACATTCCAGACAACAAAGGGTTTTTTAATCGAATAATGCGACATGTATAGAACACATCGCTTTTGTAAAGGCATTTGCTACTGAAAACTGCCCGTCATGTTATATGCACTCATGTAATATGACATTTTTGAAAATGCTCCCTTTAGATTCGATTTTATCTTTGTAACAAAGGACCAAAGTGCAGTCAGTCATTCAAACGAGGTGTTTCTGTCTTGGTTTCACTGTCACAATCATAGATTCGTCGCTTATCGCAAGCATGAAAAGAAGTAAAAGCATGAAATATAAACATACATAATAGTTAATATACAATGTAGGTAAAGAGAGACGTTGGTGACGCTATGCACATACAACAAGCAACACCAATGGTTGTTGAAGCGACTTCAATAAGCGATACTTCGTACTCACCTCTGTAACAATCAGTGCCAAAAAGTCATTAAAGCAAAATATCATTGTGGAGAATACTCCTAGGGCTTTACTCTGAGCACGAAGAAAATGTTGTATTGAAACAGATTAAATTTACAGATTACTTTAATTTATTAAACTGGTTTTCTGGGGCTAACTTAGTTAAATTTCAACAACTTTGCTTTCCTAATTTCATGTTTAGAAAGTATTTTTCAGTAAAGGCCTTTTAATACAATTTTTCAGTAAGGACCTTTTGGCACTGACACAACAGTTTGATTGATCTAGTGTATCGACCTGATCAGGCGCCTCGACTGCCTTAAAAAACTCTAGTGTTCCGAGTGTGATCTAAATAATTGTGAGAAATATCCATCAATAGCAGACTTACATTTCTGGTTCTTAGAGCAGACCAATCAGATCTGTCCTTTTGAAGTTACGACTTAAAAGCAGTTTACCTTCTTTCCAAAAGGACAACTTGGATTCGTTTTGAACTGCTGTGGAAAAGGGCATGGGAAGTTCTCTTGAAGTTCATGACAGACGGATATTTTGCCGTGAAGTTCCGAACCAGTAACGACTGGAAACGCTCTTGATCGCCCGTTATGTTGATGTTGAGTGAGAGCCCCTGTCAAGTTCACTTGAATCTATTTTTTCTGCAGCAAGCAAACATAAATACTGAACGTAAAAATCGGTCGGACAAACAAGAAAACAGTTATAAGTAGGACACAGTTGACTTTGACATTGAAGCTGACAGCAAATCTCCGCTGTCTTCAAGCGCCATGGCAACATAACGGCACTCTTCATGAAATTACAAGCAAACTTGCGGTGGTATTTATGATCGGTCCAGCTGGACCCATAATTGTGTGATAACGAAGGGTATATGCGCTTTTTGGCTCTGCTATTTTGACACGAGAGGTCCAGTGGGGTATGAAATCAATCGCCTGAGGTGATCCCCCGGGCCCAAAGGTGTGGGTCAACCGTTGAATCTTGGTGGATCTCCCCCGGTACTGCGACGGGCTCGTTATCAATTTACTGCCAACGGGCTTGTGTTGGCTTCCTTGTGGGGGATTTGATCAAGTGACCCGTACCATTCAAAAGCCAGGCTGCAGTCTGCAGAAAATCTAGTTTTCATTATAAAACAGATATCGTTTCTGTCGAAATATTCGAGATTCCATTAAGTTGAATAGGTGTGTGACGCAGCTGTCCCGTATACCGTGGTACTTTAGTGTAACAGCTTGGTTCCCCAACAACTTGATTCATACGTCCAATACCACATCCGACCATGATCCCACACATTTGCACAAACTCCGCAAATCCTTCACAATGTATAAATTTCAGTACAATTTGCACGTAACACTTCGAAGTAGATCTTTCTTAATGTTTGTAAATCTTAGTGAAGTAGAATAGGGCTCTCTGAGCACGGCTTCCCTGGTCCGTCCCTTGACATTGTATACTGTTGAGCACCTTGTTCAGTGTAATTTGTGAGTTTTCGATGGGTTGCAGCAAGGGTTGTAAAGCTCGCGTCTTTGGGAGGGGTTGGTTCAAAATTAAGCAGCGTGTGCATGGGGCAACTTTTGAGCACTCACATCAGCCAAATTACAGGACCATTTACTAAGGCAAAAACTGTAGGAAATTGGAGCTAAAACGGAATGCAACCGGCACTTAAATATTTCTCGGAAGAGAAGGTGTTCGACAAGTTATAATGTGATAGGGTAGAGTGTTAAACCTCATAAATGTCAAATGAACGTCCTTGGGTGCTGCAGCCTCAGGGACAAAAATCTGAAAGCAAGGCATGTTTGTTTAACTCTCTGAGGGGTGGTTCGAATTACAGTTACAAAAGCAGCCCTTCTTTGTTCACCTGAAAGTCCACCAAAGTATTATTTGACGAGTGAACCAGAGGGAATAACTTTGCGATCACTGAAAACAAACTAGAGTTTAGCAGTTTTGGCCCTCGACTTTTATGGAGTCACTCCCACGAAGCATTTGTTGTCCATATAGGAAGCTTGCCAGTAGTTACAGAGGCCCACCTTGGACTTAAAGGTATGAATGTTCACGAATTGCATGTTCAGCACCGTACTATACATGTACCTTCTGAAAATAGGCCAAGGCGGTTTGTGCTCTGTGTATCGTTTCATGGACTTGCTTCATTTTTTTGGTTCATTGCCGTGACAAATATCAAGAAAGGCGCTAATTGTATTCATTTTTAACTTGGTGCACTGCCCCAATTCACGGATAATTCTTCGCCAGAGGTGCTTAAAAAGTAGGCCTACCCCTACAAATTCTTTCGAAAAGAGGGGTATGTGTGGGCCAGGAAATTGTGGGATTGTGTAAGTATCACCGGATCATTTTTGTAGATTCCGGGGCACCCATCTTGGGGCAAAGCAGACCAAAAAAATAGAGATTGAAAATTTGTCAGAAGGGCCGGAGAAAGGTGAGGGATGTCATTTGAAAAATGGCTGCTGAGAAGACTTGGGAACATTCACTTTTTGGGGTGTGAGTTTGGTTTTGGCGGATAATTAAAACCCATCGGTTAACCTAATAAAATTTGAAAATCAAATGAAATCCAAGGCACCAAGCAACACATTGTTTTTGTTTGAGAGGCTTCAGGGACTTCAGTTGCTTGCTATGGGGCTCCAAACTTTGTTGATTTTACACTGTTTTCAGTGGAGCTTGAATTAGTTCAGTCTTGCAAAAATCCATAGGCCACAGGACGTTCCCGAGTGCCTGGATAACGCACCGGCGAGGTCAATCTGCAGATTAATTATGGCCCACCAAAAAAGCATTTTTTCCACGGTTTCGAGTTGTGGTAGTGGTCGTCAAATTTACCTTGAAGTTCGGGTCTCCTCCTTCAACAATGAAGTGCTGAGATTTTGTCGGATAAACAACACTCCGTCGCGATTGCAGTCACCGATGCCACGATGCGAACACCACGCACACATGCCCATCCTTGTATAACCATGTCGTTATGGTTCGTCACATACAAGTCAGTCAAAACTTTACCGTCCACACACCGTCAGTGCACATCGTAAACACTTTACAAATCAACAGATGTGGTAAAAAGCATTGCATTTTGGGCATGAAAGTTACTGTGATTGGAAAAACGGGCGGCAATATCTCGAAACCGCAGATTTTGTTCAAGCATGGCAAACAAGCTTCGTGTTGGAGCTCGAATAGGGCGGCCATGTTTCATAAAAGTGTTTCTTGGGGGCGATAGTGAGGTAGTGATATATTCGCGTGGGGTAAACTCCTTTATCACAAGAAACCTTACTTTAAAACCAATTCAGATTCCCCTTTAGCCTGTTAATTTCGGTTATATGTCTATTTTATCATTTAATAATATATTTGGGCATACCGAAGGCGAGTTGACAGCTTTTATTTTAACCCCTTAATTGACGTGAATGGAAAAAAAAAAACAGAACTTGGAGCTCTCCATAGGTATAGGCCTAACGCCCAGATGTGTGAATCTACACATTAAACTGTTTGATTTACAATCGGCGCATTTGTGTTTGGTCGTTGGTTTTTAGGGAGGAGAGAATATTGTTCGTTTTACAGTGTTTATAACTTCATATGTGTGAAGTTATGTTTCCCTTTCTCTTACATGTGTACCTGTCATTGATCTTCGTGTGGCAGTCGGGCTAACCCTACTCCAACTGAACGTGAGCTTGCTTTGAAGCGTGGAGTTAGTACAGAGATACGTGCATGCCAAATATAAAATCAATGTTTATGCAGTACCTGTTTACACATCACGCATTTCAATCTCACCTTGTCTGAAAAGAAACGTAAGCGCATATCGTATTGGCACTGCCTGTTGCTCTTGGGCGCGTCTGTAACTTTTTATTGTTATTTAGAGATAGACTGGGAAATTTCAAGATAGTGTAAAGCCTTGTTGGTAGTCCTCTTCGGAAAACGATGTCTCTGGAAAGCAAATCTTTGAAATGGTATGTCTCATTTTCTTTTTCCAGTGGCAAACACAAATTACAACATGAGGCTAATCGACAAGGAGAGCGCCCGGGCAAGTTGCCAGCCACGTGACACCGTCCTAGACAGTTACAAGGAACTTGACATTGCCAAGGGCTTCGAGACCAGGGTCTTCCCAGAGTGCATTGTGGTCCAGCGCTGTAAAAATGGCGGCTGTTGCCGTGACGACCAGGAGTGCCAACCGCTTCGTAACGGCACACGGAACGTGCTGAAACTGGTGAGAACCGTTTCGGTTTATTCCCGTGAGTATTTGTTTTCCCAAGGTCACGGGCAAGCGGCTGGTAAATTCTGAAGTAAAAAAGGCGAATGAGTTCCAGTGGTGACCAACACTGAAAAATTGCTCGGATTAATTTTTATTGAAGTAAAGATTAGAACTGGAACTACCCAGATCCTATTCAATTCGACCCAATGGCTTGACATAGAATTACTTTTTGACGCATTGGAAGTCCCCAAATTTGATCAAAAAATGAATGAGGAATTTATTTTTACACAAACCATGAGCCAGTTCGCTATTTCAAAAAAGCAAGATCATGCGAGAGGAAAGCGCGTGCAAGACGGTGCATGGCCAATGCAGAAGGGCAGATCTTGCGCGCACGCATTGCTGTTTCCGATCGACCTCCCAGTTTGTGATAGTTAACTGGTCTAGGCCTAAATGACTTATTATCTCGTTTAAACAACTTATTACCTCGTTTAAACTACATAATTATCTCGTTTAAACGACATAGTGATCTTGTTTGAACGACATAGCTATCTCGTTTAAATGACATATTGTCTCGTTTAAACAGCTTATTATCTCGTTTAAACGACAGAGCTATCTCGTTTAAACGACTTAGTATCTCGTTTAAAGGGCTGAGTATCTTGTTTAAACGAGATAAAATAATTGTATCGCCCTAGCAGCAATACACTTCCGTACTAAGCAACTGCAGTTCGAACTAAATTCACTTTTCTAGATTATTTGCGCTCTGTTCCCATATAGAAAGGGTGAAAAGAAGAAGAACCGATATCACCATCGCGTAGGTTAATCAGCCAGTTGTGCACTGGAATCTTGTGATGACAGCCAACCCCCCATTTTTTGGAAACTTCATGACATAAATCTGGACCCGGATTCTCATCCAGAAATTAAAGAATTCAAAAACATTTCAAACGGCCGTTGTTCTGAACTTGCACGAAAGAGTAATGGCCTAGAGAAGCTGTTTTCTGGTCGCCTTGCCCAAACCCACAGCCACATGTCTCACTATGCAATATCCAAAGTGTGCCACAGGATATTCTAGAAACGTTGATGGTGCTACAGTCTCTTGGCAACCTGCAACACGTGTTACTGTTGGGTGGGTCTGAAAAAAAATATGCATAAATCACATCGGCAGACCTGGATCTATGAGACCCGATCACCATTTACTTGCCCCCTTTGGGCCTGAGGCAAATGTCACCTCAGTATTGGCTTCTGATCTACATGTACATTGGACTATCGCAAAGAACTCTGAGCGTATACCTGAATCCTGTCCAATCTGCGTAATTCAGAAACCCTTTGTCATTCGAAATGACAAAGGGTTTATAAGCATAACGAGTGCCGACTAGTTGGAAAAGATATTTGTAAATTATGTCTGCAGTGTACGGATAGGCCTAATGTAGGTTCTATGATCCTTTGATGTGACCTGGAGGATCAGAAATCTCCGAAACTAAAACTATAATTGCTTAGGGCCTACTCCCTCAAACGTAGAAAAATTCTTGAATACAGTTAAATCAAGCCCGCTGACTGAAGACGTCATTGCATTTACTAGTGGTCGGGCGGCTTTAGATCACATGAAGCTTTGACAAAATTATATTGCGTCAGGAGTTGGTCCAATGTAGGTCCAAATATAATTTGTTGTATCTATTTTTTTGTACTTGGAAACAGTGAAAAACAACTAGGCCTACTGTGTCATTCTGACACAATGAACAGCTCTATATAGGGTGTATGAAATGGCAAAGTATTCACACAGGCAAGATGCAGTGCAGGTCACTTCAGTTTTTGTTTTCACCATGTAAAACGTTTACTTTGGTTTCTCGTTCTGCAGCACGAAAGGAATAAGTCACCAACATGAAAAAAGCAAATAAAAAGGAAACGCAACAAAGAATAAAAAACATAAACAAACACCCCCTGTTACTCTATGAAAAATACCCAATAAAATGAAAACAAGTATTAAATGTAAGGAAAAATATTTGGATGTAAAGCTGTTTGTGGTTAGTCTGCCCAAATATTTTTTCAGAATAACCCTGTTGTTGATAACCATTAACCTAGTTAGCCTGACAAGTCCTTGCATTCTGGGCAACACATTTAGGTTAAGTTATGAGCCGATTCCCGTGAAATTTCTTTACTGTCAGCTAGAGGTCTCGCAGATTTAATTATGACCCCCCTCTCCTAAATAAGAGGTCAATTGATTTTTGTTTTCCTGTCATCGTCTCGTCGACGTGCAACGGGCAGTTCCTGATCGATGCCGTGATCCAGAGGAGGTACATCAAGGAGGACTTTGCCTGCGAGTGCGTGGAGAAGCCAGACTTCTGCTCCCCGCCGGAGACGGAGTGCCCCCACGGCAAGACCTGGAGCCACGGTCAGTGCGGCTGCAGCTGCCGGAAGCGCTGCCCCAAACCCTTCCTACAGGACGAGTCCACCTGCGCCTGTGACTGCTTGACCAACAACCGGGTCTGCAAGAACATCCAACGAGGCCGCAAAGATCAAAAACTCGCTGTGGAAGAGTGCGAGTAAGTTTGCTGTCATCCATGTAACCCTGTACTATACTGTAATCCTCAGAAACAGGTCCAAGGAGAACCTATAGAGTGAGTCGTTACCTTATCCAGGTCTCGTTTCAGGTTTTTCATATTCTAAAACAACTTTCCGAAAGTTTCACTCCGTAAAAGAATCCTACCCCATTCAAAAAAAAGTGGTAGTGCTGTTTTTAAAGTACAGTGCGCTTCAATTCCTTAAGAACGATACACGTCTCAGGGGGGTAGCCCCCCCGGCCCTCAACCCCTGTCCTGACTGGCAGTGACAGTGTCTAGAGGAGTGGAGACGAAGACTCAGTGCCGACCTGAAAAGTTATTCTCTTCTGTCATTTCGTCGAAAATTTACTTGGAAGGATCCAGGTGAATATTGAATGTGCATACTTTAGTCCAGAATCTCCGCTCTTGCAAGGGTCAAGTTTTACTTCACTCATTCAGCAAAAAGTAGCACTCCTAAATTAAAATATAAAGTGACATTTGAATGACAACCACTAGCAGGAAAAAATTCTCAAGATCTTCTGACACGCCCGTACAAGCAAGAGTAATTTCTGTAAATTGTCAACATATGGTGTCTTAGGCCTGGATGAAAAAAGTGAATACTGCTGAGCAAGCCCCTGTCCATGCTGAGCAGAAGCACCCCTTCATCGATTGAAAAGAGCCATGTTGGTCGGAAATGTTCGTTTCGTTGGTAGCGACGCGCACACAATGCATGTATCTCATAGTCGTTTGTGAACCAGCGAAGTAAAGTTCCTGCCAAAGGAGCCTACGTTGCTAGGAAAATCGCGCCCTCTCTTGGTCAAAGCTCAGGGCCCATAGGTATCCTATGGGACAGCCTATATTATGGAAGCTATGCGGTATTTTAAAATTTTTATCAACGCAGATTGATAAATTTTAAATTTTACGCAATGTATGGCTGCTGTCTTTAACCTTAAAGAATATTGTGGCTAAAAGGACTTAACTTTTCCTAATTATCTTCAATTTTGTAGTTGAGACCACCAACACCCCCAACACTAGACCAGACACCAACACCAGTCTCAAGTCCTGTAGCAAGTCGCACTGTGAAAAGTGACAAACGAAGGCTTTTTAATTGCATTTAATTTGCATAGCTTGTGGCTTGAATTCAGCCTGTAATGGTCTGTTGTGATGGTCTCGTGATTTGGTCTTAAGATTTTCTTATGGGCTTCGAGCTGGACCAAGAGAGGGCGCTATTTTCTTAGCAACGGATGCTCCTTGTTTTGGAACTGAACTTCACTGGTTCACGACCGACTAGGAAATGCACAAGTCACGGTCGCATTGCTACCAGCAAAATGGACACTCCCGTTCAACGCTGCTCTTTTCAACCTAAGGGTGCAGACCACTAATTCAAGTGAGAATTTCTGGCCAGCTCTCTAGCATTAAAAGTGCCCCCACAGCATCTTTTGAAAAAGGAGATTGTTTGGCCCCCAAAATGGTGATATCGTGTACATCATTGCCAGGATCAACTCCCTGGGTCTTTGAGCTTTCATATGAGAGCAGAAGGGCTAGAAACTACGGTTGAAAAATGGTCCTAATTGCCCGAGAAAGTTGAAGGTTGCCACTTGAAAAATGGCTGCAATCAGACTTCGGAAAAATCACTTGGGGGGTGATTTTGTTTTGTGGGAATAATTACAAATGTAATTGGTTAACCCACAAAAAATTGAAAAGAAATTGAAAGA